ACTCTATCAAGAAATTATTTATTGAGTTAAAACAAAGCAAATCTTATACCTACTTACATACTGAATGACTGTTTTACTTAATGTAAAGCTTGATAATATTTATATTCAACATGGGCAAAAGAGAATAAAGAAAACTTATTAAAAAAAAAAAAAACAAATTGTCTGGGCAAATGCTGTGGTGTGGTGGGAAAGCCCATTGCCTGCCTCATCACATATGGGCACTGGTTTGAGTCCCGGATGCTCCGCTTCTGGTCCAGCTCTCTGCTGTGGCCTGGGAACGCAGTGGAAGATGGCTCAAGTGCTTGGGCTTTTGCACCCGCGTGGGAAACCTTCGGAAGCTCCTAGCTCGTGGCTTTGGATCTGCCCAGTTCTGGCTATTGTGGCTGTTTGGGGAGTGAACCATCATATGGTAGACCTCTCTCTCTCCCTCTCTGCCCTTGCCCCTCTGTAGCTCTGCCTTTCAAATAAATAAATATTAAAAAAATTGGTCCAGGTCAAGTTGCATTCACCCTTAAATAGAGTAGTTGACATATACTAAAGACTGTGGCATAATTTGAACCATACTGACTATGTACTGTCATTATCACATTCCTTCTTATCCTTTCTCCAATTACAGGCTGCCAAATTATTTCCTTTGATTATGTAAAAGTTATTTATTAAATATGAATTGTGTCATTATAAATATCAAAAACTGGAAATCCATTGTTTGTAATGATCCAAGATACCCTTATCTAGATTTATTTATAAATTTGTAAAATATGAACTTTTTGACAATAAAATAAAAAGCATGCTTCTGTACCTCTATATAGTGTCGTTCATGGTTGAAACTTTTCATCCAATATTAAATTGCATGTGAGAGACTATATATAATTACTCTGGCAGATGTGCTCTAGGAAATGCATAAGTGAAATGTGGACATTTGGGTTGATAAGTTTACTGTTGGGATCAAGTGCTTTATTAAGTAAAAACTTTTGATTAAAATCTGTAGCCCAGCACATGTTCATAGAGATTTCTGAATATCAGAGAATTTAAAGTAGATTTCTTACTTTAAACCTGGCATCTTTCTTGTAATATATAATATAATTGCATTGAACATGACAGTCTGTAAAACTATAAATATGATCAGAAGAGACCCAACTAAATTAAGTTTCAGAGACCATCAATTTATTCTAAAATGACATTGGCATGAAAAATGTCTTACTGGAGTTTGTAAATCTTATTCTGTTAGCTATTACTAGACATAGTCTAGACTTGCTGCTCATAATAAATAGATTAAGACAAAGATTATCTATTAGTCACAGTCTTCAGATTATTTCCATTTGATAATATAAGTGCAAAGAATTTACTAGATATTTTGACCTTAAACTTGTTTTATTTATAAATTATTTTACATACCTAAAATATTCAGTTGAGTTTTGTCTAATTCTTTATTTTCCAGGTAGATTAACCATTCCAGGCAGGTGGGCTATTATTGTTTAAGGGAAAATGTAGAACTGCATGACTAGTACATCAATGAAAAGATTAAGGTGTGATATAATGTTAGCCATAGTCTCAGCTTTGCCACTCTTGATATTTTAGACATGATAATTTTGATGTTGGACTCTTGGTCTTGTATGCTTGGTATCCTTGGCCTCTATGTACTAGTTATAATTTGCTTGTTCCATGCCCCACAATAGTAACTGAAACTATCCCTAAATATTGACAGATATTGAGATAAATTCCTCTGGATTGAATATTTGCTGAGATTACAACAAACACTTTCACATTAGTAATCAAATTTTAAAGTCTATTATAAGGATTGCTATTAAGGGAAACTGGCGTAGACATTATAAGAAGGTAGTGACTATTTTGAATGCTTGGCTCAATATCCTATTACTGACATGCATTTCATAATTGTCTTAATGGTATTGTGACTTCATATGTAAAATTCAAAATACAGAATTTTCCTTAGATCTTTTCATTAGAATAATTTAGGAATTCCTTAAACTTGATGTTCATGAGAACAAACTACTTAGCACATAAATATTCAAGCACATATGCATATGTATATATAAATCACTCACATGTGTAAATATGTATCATAGTAAGTATATTGTACTTGAGGTGGAGAATGTTATGGGAATTTTTGTCAGGGTATTTTGACTTACAGCTCTTTTACTTTAGTTGATGCACCCTAACCCAAAGACCCTCAAAAGCAGAATCTTAGCTTCAGAGTCTTCCTTCCAATCTGTGTACATTTGTCAATGTCCACAGACCTTTCTCTTAATCATAACTGAGAGGGAGAGGATGTGCTACTGGCATCTAGTGGTAGAGACGAGGGATGCTAATTCTACCACAATGCAGGTGACAATTGCCTACATGCCTTTGAAAAACCCTTCTTGAAACCTAACATAGGATGAATTTTAGACAGAATTATAAAGAGAGGACCTGGAAATTGATTTTTCAAAGGAGAAATAAGTAGAAATGATGAGTGGAGATTTTTATGAGACAAATGGAAGCTAAAATAAATGAGATAAATTAAATCCACATTTTAGAACATTGCTTAAAACCAATATCGAGTACTATAGACAAATCTGAAATACTTTTAGGTGATCTAAATGAATTTTAGTCATTGCATGACAAATAATCCTAAATTTAGGAAGGAGTTTAATACTTTCTCACATATGCTATTTATGGAAGTTTGAGTTACCTAGAGTGTTTTCCACCATAAGCTTTCTTGAAAACTTTGGAAGTGAGAGACAGTTCAGAGATAGAACAAGAGGAAGAACTCTGCTGGTGCCGTGGCTCAATAGACTAATCCTCCATCTGCGGCGCCAGCACCCCGGGTTCTAGTGCCGGTACCCTGGGTTCTAGTCCAGGTCAGTGGGCCAGATTCTGTCCCGGTTGCTCCTCTTCCGGTCCAGCTCTCTGCTGTGGCCCGGGAGTGCAGTAGAGGGTGGCCCAAGTGCTTGGGCCCTGCACCCGCATGGGAGAGCAGGAGAAGCACCTGGCTCCTGGCTTCGGATCAGCGTGGTGTGCCAGCCACAGTGGCCATTGGAGGGTGAACCAACGGAAAAAGGAAGACCTTTCTCTCTGTCTCTCTCTCTCTCTCACTGTCTAATTCTGCCTGTCAAAAAAAAAAAAAAAAAAAAAAGAGGAAAAACTCTGGAGCCAATGCTTGGTACATGGAGTTGAACCACTGCCTTCAGTGTCAGCATCCCATATGGGTGCTGGTTCAAGTCCCGGCTGCTCCACCTACAATCCAACTCTCTGCTATGGCCTGGGAAAGCAGTGGAATATGGCCCAAGTCCTCGGGCCCCTGCACCGACATGAAAGACCCAGTAAAAGCTCCTGGCTCCTGGCTTCAGATTGGCATATCTCTTACTGTTGTGGCCAGTTGCAGCAATTAAGGTCAATTTGGGCCAACTGAACCTGAGGATGGAAGACCTCTCTCTCTCTCTCTCTCTCTCTGCCTCTCTTTCTCTCTCTGTGTAACTCTGACTTTCAAATAATTAAATAAATCATTAGAAAAAAACAGTAAAAACCAAACAACATAGAAAGCTGTAAATATTTATATGGTCTTGGAAGTTCAAAGGAAAGTCCAGACACAAAGCAGTTTCTTAACATGTTAAAATACAGCCCCTTATCTATGAGTCATAGTCTCCAATATCTGCCATGGATGACTGAAACCACAGTTGTGTTGAGACAGGGAGTTTTGTTATATATGATTACACATGACAAAGTTTAAAATTTTGGTACTATAAGAAATCAATAATGACATATCAGGATAAAATAGAACAACTCCAATAAAGATTAACATTTTCAGACCACAGTTGACTGTAGGAAACTGGAACTGTGTAAAGTAAGATTATAGATACACTAAGACTAGTGTATTAATAGTACCGGTAAGAATATAAAACTAGTATGTCTGTGTTGTATGTTACAAAGGTATAAAAAAGAAAATTCTAAAATGTTTCTAAAAATGAACAACCATAAAATTTCAACAATGTATATGAGAAATTTCCTTCTCACTCTTGTTTCTTGATGGAGTCATGTGGCTGCCCAAATATAGACTGGAGTGAGGAAAAGATTACTGAGGAACACAAAGAAACATTTCTTGATGAAAAAATTGTATTCTTCAGTGTTGTATTGATTCCAGAGGTGTATACAAAGACATTTTAAAAAGTTTATGGAAAATGCATGCTATAAAAAAATGCATTGTCAAGAAAGCCAACCAAAATTAACATTTTAATTCCATTATCCATAATCTGTTTGAATTATCCTGATATCTCCAATTCTATTCTTTTTTTTTTTCCTAAGATTTTATTTATTTATTTGAGAGGTAAAGTTAGAGCCAGTCAGCAGGACAGACAGAGAAAAAGGTCCTCTATCTGCCAGCTCACTCCCCAAATGGACACAACGGCCAGAGCTGTGTGGATCCAAAGCCAGGAGCCAGGAGCTTCTTCCGGGTCTCCCACGTGGGTTCAGGGGCCCAAGCACTGGGCCATCCTTTACTGCTTTCTGAGGCCACAGCAGAGAGAGGGATTGGAAGAGGAGCAGCCAGGAGTAGAACCAGTGCCCATATGGGATTCTGGCACTGCAGGGCAGCAGCTTTACATGCTATACCACAGCGCCGGCCCTCCAATTCTAATCTAATATCACATACCTTTCTCCCTGATCTGTGAACTTCGATTCCAACAGTGAGAAATCTTGCTTACACCATTTACCATCTATTAATTTAATTGTCTAATTCCAGCACATGTATGCAATGGTAAAAAACTGACAGCCTGTTCCTAGTGGGGGCAATGTCTTTTCCAGCTAAAATTTAGTGCTTTTACACAATTTATTTTACTTTAGTAGTAGAGACAGCACTTGTTTTAATTATCTCTTTGTTCAGCCCCCTTTTCCCAGTGTCTCTTTATTTACATAAAATTTATGTTTATAATAGAATCAGGTGGTTCTATAAAATTCTGCATTCCATTTGGGGACCAAACAATCTTTCAACCGATATTTCTACTCACTTGCATAAATGTTTATCCTTTATGTTGTAGAACTCTCTGTGTTGGCAAATGTGTATTCTGTTGTAGATACTCAATGGCATCAAGTTCTGTGACAGTGTCTTTTGGGTCAACCACATTCTTACTAACTTTTAGTGTGCTCGATGTATCAGTTGCTGAAGGAAGAGCCTTGTACTCTTAACTAGAATCCTGAATTTGCCGGTTTTTCTTTCAGTTCCACAACAATAATAAAACAATTAAACTTCCAAATTGGTTGACTGTAAGAGAAGTATTCTTGTTTGGCCTCATCTAATCAGGAGAGTTGATTGAGCTCTTCCTGCAAGAAGCAATTAGAGAAATGAGAGGGATCTGTGACAATGAAAATTCTCAAATTGGGCTTTAAGGATGGGAGGCGTCAAATGCTATTATATGCAGACCGCTTGTAGGAGATAAACATAACCCATGATTTATAGCAAGCAAAGACCCAAGGAACTGAAACCCTCAGACGTGATTGAATGGTACCAACATCCTAAGAGAGCTCTGAAACAGATTCCTCTATTGGGCCTCACAATTAGAATGCAGTCCACCTGACCCATGGTGGACCCAACTAAGCAGTATCTGAACTACTGTCCTACATAAATAAAAGGTAATATTTTTTGGTTACAAAATGATAGTAAACTTATATATTGCTAGTTATTATAATTTGGAAATATTAACAGCACAATTATAATTGAAGAATATTCTATCCAATATCAGCAAAAAAAAAAAAAATGCACTAACAGCACAGGTGTGGAACCCTAGAGCCAGATTATTTTGGAGCAGAACTGAGCTTGATGATTGACCTTGAGCAAGTTACTTCACCAATTCTTCATTGATAAATGGGGATAAATGAAATGGGGCCAGTATTGTGGCACAGTGAGTTAAGCCACATCCAGCATATCATATCAGAGTGTGGTTTGTGTCCCTGCTGTTCCACTTTGATGCCAGTTCCTCGTAATGTCCTGGGAAAGTGATGGAGCATGGCTCAAGTGCCTACCTACCTGCCACCCATATGCAAGACCCAAATGGACTTCCTGGTTCCTGGCTTCAGCCTGTCCCAACCCTGGCTATTGTGGTCCTTTGGGGAATGAACCAGTGGATGGAAAATTGATCTCTTTCTCTCTCTTTCTATCTCTTAGTGATGCTCTTCCTTTCAAATAAATGAAGCTAAAAAGTGAACAAATGGGGACAAATAACAGTCTTATCAAAAAATTAAATGAGTGAAGATTTTTAATTTGCTTAAAATAGTGCTTGGCATGTAGAAAATAATATTTGCTAAATAGATATATAAGTATTTGCTAAATTAACACATCTTTAAGATGTTTCACATTTCACATGATTTGTTCCAGCATAAAAAAACAAAACAAGGCCGGTGCCACGGCTCAACAGGCTAATCCTCCACCTGCAGCGCCGGCACACTGGGTTCTAGTCCAGGTCTAGGCGCCGGATTCTGTCCCGGTTGCTCCTCTTCCAGTCCAGCTCTCTGCTGTGGCCAGGGAGTGCAGTGGAGGATGGCCCAAGTCCTTGGGCCCTGCACCCCATGGGAGACCAGGAGAGGCACCTGGCTCCTGGCTTCGGATCAGCATGGTATGCCGGCCGCAGCGCGCCAGCTGCAGAGGCCATTGCGGAGTGAACCAACAGAAAAGGAAGACCTTTCTCTCTGTCTCTCTCTCACTGACCACTCTGCCTGTCAAAAAAAATTAAAATAAAATAAAAAAAACTCATATTTCCCATGAGATGTATTGTGCTATCCTGTTATCCTTGACATTTGGAATTCAACTCCTCCACTTGATATTAAATATATATTATCATTTTATATTGTAGGAAGAGTTGGAATTGAAACATTTTGAAGTATAACTGTACTTTAATATCATAATCAGGTACTTAGTTTTGAGTCTTTGAATTCAATTATACATCCCTATATTCATTGAATGTTTATCAGTATTTACTCTGTATCTGTTTGTATGAACCTGATCTACAAAATTGAATAGAGATTGCCACTGTTCTAAAAAACAGTTTGATCATGAATACTGATGCTTTGTCTAACTTGTTGTTTGAAACATTATGAAAGAAACTTCATTGGTAACTGCAGAGATAGTACATGAAATTTGGAAAATGTGTAAATATTAACTAGGTAAGAAAAAAAGAGAAAACTATTATTATCCAAGAAAGAAGGCATAGTTTTGGTGGTCTGCTATTGTGAAGTAGCTTGATGCCTTCAGGAAGCTGAATGTTTTATAAAATGCCAAGTTCAATGTCTGCAATTGGAAGATTTTTCAGTCAAATCTACGGAGCTTGTGTGATATTTCTTGGAAGAACCGGTAAAGCCTGTGTGAGATTTCTTGGCAGAACCTGTAGGGCGTGATGAGTTCCACATTGAGCTGGCTGGTTTTGATGACTCTGAGACCACTGAACACAGGAGATTTTAAGTAACACATATACCCAGAGAGAGATAGAAAGAGAGAGATACAGAGAGGGAGAGAGAGAGATAAACCAGAGAAAAATGCTGGACGTACAGCATTAAAACAACCAGCACATGAATAGAAGTTGAAATCAAGGGCATTGCTGATGACATGGAGAGGCGGTGGAGCATGAGGACAGCACATTTCCCGTGGCTGAACCCTAAGAGAACATACAAATTTATGAGGCAAGAAGGATAAGATAAATAATAAAGAAGCCTAGGAAGGATGAAACAGAAATGAATACATGGACAACAGAGAACTTGTGTAACAGCATCATAAAAAAAAAAAAAAGAGAGAGAGAGAGAGAAAAGTTTGAAAAGGAGAATGTTCTCGAAATTCCAAATATCCAGGACCAAAACAGCATGAGATAAGATAAATAAAGTTAAGAACAGAGACGTAGTTCTTGAACTTAGCATCTGGATATTGTGGCATTTTGGCCAATAATAATGTTAAGAAAATTTGTGATGTATATTTGGTGCTAAAAAACAACCTGGATAATCTTGCATAGGCAAAGTTGAATTTTGTAATACTATTTTGCAAGTGAAGAAGTTGAAACTGGGAGAGGTTTAGTGACTGAACAAAGAGGCAGTCAGTCCCCAGCAAACAATGAGACAAAACTTCATCATTACACTGTAACACTTTCCAAAAGAGGCACATATATTATTGGCCCTTTTCCGAGAACAAAACACTGTGTCAAGTATCATAGCTAAAAATACAATATCTATGCATGCAGAAAAATTAATTCATGTAAATATGAATGAACAAGAATAACTGTAAACACATATACTGATAAATCAATGTATAAAGCAATATGTAGCAGTTACCAAGTTGTTTGCCTTAGGTATATATGAAACAGAAGATTTGAAGAGGAAGTTTGGCTGTGGGCAAAACATGAATGTGGGCTATGTAGTTAATCATTCATTCAGTATTTTAATAATTCAAATTATGTTTATTAAGAAGCTAACAATTGGGGAACACAGATGAATAATGCTCATGAGATTTCAGAGTGTATTTGGGATGGTATTCCCAACAGTTATTATTATTTGAAATGCTACAGGAAATAGCAAAATAGGGTTCAGAATTCTTCTGCATTATGTTGCTGGGCATGCCAGGGCATATTTTAAGGAAGATGTGTGGTAGACCATGTGGACAGATTTTGTTGACACTCATTCCAGCCTTGTTAAAGCTGAAGAGGTTAGAAAGTTAAAACAAGCAATGCAGCCTCTGTGAGCCAACATTCTGGAAATCTTAGACTGCTTATCCATTGCAGGCATTTGTGTAAGACAGGAAAGAAGTAACTCAAAGTCCAATTTGCTATTGTTGATTCTGGTAAATAAAACCATGGAGACATTAATTGCAAAAGTAATATAAGTGGCAACACTCAATGTCCTTTTAGTCTAATCATCAGTTTTGTGGGTGTGAAAAGCTGAAACTGTTGACAGTAGGAGTATCTTCCTGACTCACTATTGCAGGCATGACTTTGGATTTAGTAACTCAAAATGTTTCTTCATGCCCCCAGCCACATATATACTTCAACAATTTCATATTTTCCATTTATGAATCTATAAAATAAACTTTATGCTATAGGGATGTACTGAGACACCTACCCTTGCTTCTGATTCTTTTTTTTTTTTTTTTAAGATTTAGTTCTATATTATTTGAAAAGCAGAGTTACAGAGAGGCAGAGGCAGAGAAATAGAGAATCTTCCATACCCTGGCTCACTCCCTGAATGTCTGCAACAGCTAGGGTTAGGCCAATCTGAAACCAGAGCCAGGAGCTTCTTCCAGGTCTCCCACGTGAGTGCAAGGGCCCAAGCACTTGTGCCATCCTCTTCTGCTTTCCAAGGCACATCAACAGGGAGCTGGATCAGAAATGGAGCAGCTGAGACTGGATCCGGCACCCATATGGGATGCCAGCACCGTGTGTGGCTTTACCTACTGCAGAGAGCTGGACTGGAAGTGGAGCAGCCAAGACTAGAAACAATGCCCATATGGGATGCTGGTGCCTCAGGTGGAGGATTAACCTACTGCACCACAGCACCAGCTCCTCTGATTCCTTCTTGAAACCCTTTAAAATGTGAAATTGAAACTAGCTTTGAAATGAAATTCACTAGGTAAACAGAGCTAAAGGAGAGGAAAATTAACATTCTTGGCTTTCTCCCCACCAGAAGTTAGATGTAGAAATAGAAAGAGCACAATCTAGGTTTTGTTGATCTAGAAAACTGAGTAATTAGATAAACATTTTTTTTTAACTTTTATTTAATGAATATACGTTTCCAAAGTACGAATAATGGATTACTATGGCTTCCCCCCCATACCGTCCCTCCCACCCACAACCCTCCCCTCTCCCACTCCCTCTCCCCTTCCATTCACATCAAGATTCATTTTCGATTATCTTAATATACAGAAGATCAGATTAGATAAACATTTTAAGAACACTGTGTTTGCAAAGATAATTAGTGACAATAAATCTAAAAGTTTTTCTTCATAGAAAGTAGTTTTGACTTTACTTAAGCAAGTAAACCTAGAAAAAGAAATGGTATTTTCATTGAAAATTTATGTCCAATGCGAAATAGAGCTTTTGAAAATTAAGTTATATATAGAAACAATTTTCTAGGTATGATAAGCCTATGATACTACCTGATAACTTGCAAGTTCAATGCATCTGTACTTATAGTGGCTCTAATTTTTTTTATCTTTGCTAATACTCTAATATTTTTAAAAATGTTTTCATTTACAATGCTGTAATAAGAGTATGACAATGTGCACCTGTTCATCATTTATTGGTTATAAAAGAATGCATTGAATATGTATACGTACCAGACGTACAATATAA